GATACACTTTAAAGCTCAATTCAAATACCACTTTTTTTCTCTCTCTCTTTGCCAGTCTGGAGCTTGAATTCAGGGCCCGGGCACTGTCCTTGAGCATCAATGTGCTCAAGGCTAGCACTCTACCACTGGAGCCATAGTGCTACTTCTAACTTTTTCTGTGGTACTGAGGACTTGAATCCAGGGATTCATGCATGCTAGGCAACCACTCTACCACAAAGCCACCTTCCCAGCCCATCTAATACCACTTTTTCATGGAATTCCTCTTTACTCTGCCCCTCCTATCTTTCCCTCCCAAGAAACTTTTACATGTTATATTCTAAGTGTTGGTGGCTCATGCCTGTATCCCTAGCTACAGTGCAGACTGAGAGCTGAAGACTGATATGTGGAGCCAGACTGGACAGAAAAATCCATGAGTCTCTGATCTCCATTTATGGAGCAAAATCCCAGAAGGGGACGTATAGCTTCAGTGGTAGAGCTTTGAGCCAAGTGAGGGCATGAGGCCCCTGAGTTCATACCTCGCACAGACAGAGCCAGACACACATGCAATTCCTCCAAAATAAATGAGGATAAAATAAAAAAAAAAAGAAAAACACTGTAGGGAAAGCAGCTATACTCAATAAGCCTGAGAGAGAACAACAATAGGTTACTGAAAAAAAGAAATTTGAACTATTTTAAATTTAAAATGTTTAATACTTCAAATAGTAGTAGGAAAGAAAGAACAAAAATCAGTATGGAGATAAATGAAAGCATCACAACCCACACAAGGTCTTTGCTATGGAGTCCATGCTGGTCTCAATTTCTGATCCTCCTGTCTCAGCTGTCCACATGCTGAGATTACAGGCATTGGACACTTAGCTAGAGGTTTGTTTTGTGACAAGATAAATTTGACGAACCTTCAGCTTGATTAAAGAAAACAGAGGACCCTAATGAATAAAAATCAGATTTTACAACCAGCATCACAGAAACACCAAGATTCATTAGGGACTATCATGAAAAAAATACATGCTAACAAACTGAAAAACTAGGAAAAAAATGGACAAACTTCCAGACACATATGACCTACCAAAACTGAATCATGAGAACCAAATACTCTAGGATAATATGTCATGAGATTGAACATTATTAAAATTCTTCCGAAGAAGAAAATACCAGGACCAGATGGCGTCACTGATGAATGTTCTCAAAATTATGACAATTCTGAATTTTAGCAAACTAATTGTTCTCAAACTACAGCACAGAACTGAAAGGGAGGGAAGCCTTTTCGAAAACATCAGGCCAACATTACCCTTGTATCCAACTAGACAAAAATACAACACAAAAAGAAACCTATCGACTGATATTGCTGATGAATACACACGCAAAAATTCTCCAAGTGACTAGTCAATCAACCACGGATTGTGCACACACAAACACAAGATCTTATGAGAAGGCAGGAAGTTGTATCTACCAGCCAGAGAGGACCCAGAAGCCAAACCTGGGATCTTGAGCTTCTAGTCTCTCGAACTCCAAGAACATAAATTTTTGTTAACAGAAATGATAATTAAGAAAACTTAGCAATGAGACAAACAAAAACCTAGCAAATCAAATCCTACAGTACCTCAAATAAAAGTCACGAGTTCATCAAAAAGATCATTTATAATTGAAAATGAGCAAATTAGTAACTTAAATATATTACACAATGACCAATGGTCATATTGGTAGAGTCAGGAAAAAAACTTAGATAAAATGCAGCATCATTTCATGATAATCACCATGAACAAATCAGGTGTAGAAAGACTGTACTTCAATGTAACAAAGGCTCTATTTAACAAACCCACAGCCAACATTATATTGAATGGGGAAAAGCTGAAAGAACTTCATCTAATATCAGTAACAAGAAAAAGATGTCTATTTTTATAGCTCTCATTCAAGGGCCATAAAAATTTTAGCCAAAGTAGGCAAGAGCAAGAAATAAGAGCATACAAACAGGAAAAGACGAAACCAATTATTCTTATACAAATAAGGTAAGTTGCTGATGATTCTATAGGAAAACCTAAATATCACCAAAAGATTAGAATTGAGGGCTAGGAATATGGCTTAGTGGTAGAGTGCTTGTCTAGCACTCTAGATTTGCTTCCTCAGCATCATATAAACAGAAAAAGTATCATATAAACAGAAGTAGTGCTGTGTCTCAAGTGGTAGAGTGCTTTGAGCAAAAGAAGCTCAGGGACAGTGCCTAGACTGAGTTCAAGTCCCAGGACTGACAAAAAACAAAAAAAGAAAAAAAAAAGGTTAGCATTGATAACTCTAGTAAAGTAGCAGGATACAAGAATTAGTCAGTAATTTCTATAAACCAATAATTCCAGGGCAAGAAATTATAAAAGCAATCCCATTCACAATAGATTAAAAAAACCTTAATACTAAAAAAAGATAAAGGAAATAAACCACTAAGAAGTAAAAGACCTCAATAATTACAACTATTAAAAAAACTAATGAAAAACATAAAGACTGGTCAAAAACACAAAAATGGAAATATCTACCATATTCATGGACTAGAAGAATCAATGTTAAAATGTCTATACTACTCAAAGTGATCTATATATTTAATGCAATCCCCATTAAACATGCCAATGATACTCTTCACAAAAAAGAAATAACAATCACAAAGTTTATATGAAAGCACCAAAGATCCCAAATAGCCAAAGCAATCTTGAGGAAAATAATAATTCTTGAGGTAATCAAAGATCTGATTTTGCCGGGCACTGGTGGCTCATGCCTATAATCCTAGCTACTCAGGAGGCTGAGATCTGAGGATCAGGATCGTGGTTCAAAGCAGGAAAGCTGGTGAAATTGTTATTTCCAATTAACCACCAGAGAACCTGAAGTGGCGCTGTGGCTCAAGTGGTAGAGTGCTAGCCTTTAGATGAAGAGCTGAGGGACAGCACCCAGGCCCAGAGTTCAAGCACCATGACTGACAAGAAAAAAAAAAATCTGATTTCAAGAGATTACAGAGCCTTAGGTTGAACAGCATGGTATTGGCATAAGCAAAGAGCAGAAAGGTCCAATAAATTAACTCACCCATCTATAGCAAAATGACTCTCAAACAAGGTGCCAAAAGCACACACTGGAGATGGAATACACTAAGTGATGGGGAAACTAGATGTCAACATGTATAAGATAGACATGACTCCACCTGTGAAGGAAGGAAGGAAGAAAACAGAGGAGGAGGGAGGGAGGGATGGAGGAAGGGAGAGAGGGAGGGAGGGCTGGTTAGCCAGTCCACTTACCTGCTCACCCTGCGCCGGTGGCTCACGCCTGTAACCCTAGCTATTCAGGAGGCTAAGATCTGAGATACTTGGTTGAAAGCCAGACAGGGCAGGAAAGTCCATGAAACTCTTGTGTCCGATTAACCAGCAAAAAGCCAGAAGTGGAGCTGTGGCTCAAGTGGTAAAATCCTGGCCTTGAGCAAAAAAACTCAGGGGCAGCGTCTAATCCCTCAGCTCAGGACCAGCAACAAGAAAATAACAGCAACAACAAAGATTGAAACTACTAGAAGAAAACATAGAAAGAAAAACACAAGGAACACTTCCAAATATTAGTAGAGAGTGATTTTTCTGGATAGGACCCTGCAAAGCATAGGAAACAAAAGCCAGAGTTGAGAAATAAAAGACATCAATATAAAGTCTCAGTACATCAAAGATCACCAAGTAAAGAGAAAACCTACAGAATAGAGAAAACGTTTGCCACATATTCATCTGACAGTTTAGTATCCAGAAAGAATGTGAAATGAAGAACTATGACAACAAACAAGTGATCCCATTAGGACTGGGCAAATGACTTGAACAGACGCTTCTCAAAAAGAAACACAAAGAGCCAACAAGTAGGAAAAGATGCTCAGTATCACTTATCCCCCAGAGACATTCAAATCAAAACCACAGTGAACTCATAAGTACAAGCTGAAGGATCTCAAATTTGAGTCTCATACCGTGAGACTATTACAAAAATAAACCAACCCCATTATCCTTCTTCTGGTTCTTGGGATTAAACTCAAGCAGTCTACCACTTGACCCACACCTCCAGTTCTTTCTAGTTTGATGACTAGGGTCTCACTGCTAACTTTGGCTGGTGGTATGTAAGCCTGTCCAGTACCTAGGAACACAGCCATGCACCACATGTGCTGCTTCGTTTTGGGGAAGTTGCTTATAAAGGTTCCAGCAGGGGGGTGCAGCTATGGCTACACATATGCCCCGGACATACCAATGGTCCTTCTCGATCAAGGAAGTCATTCTCTCTTACTAAGCGCTCAGCTTTGGGGAAAGACTTGGAAGGGTAGAGCAGAAAGACCACCCCCACCTAGCCAGTCTGATCAGCTGAACCAACCCTTCCAATGGATGGGGTGACAGATGTTATTTCCCGTTGTCTGTGCATTTCCATCTTGTTGTACAGACAGGGTCTTGCTAACTTTGGCCTGGGCTGACTTGAACCTTGATTCTCCTTCTCTGCTTCCAAGTAACTGGGATTGACAGGTGTACAGATACCACACCCAGTCCCAAGAAATCCCTATGTGTTGATGGTGAATGAAATCCCGCCACTTCCAGTAAAATGGATGGAACTGGAGGACACTGTGCTAAGTGAAATGAGCGAGGCACATAAAGACAAGCATGGCATGTTCCCTGCCTGTCCTTTGTGAAGCTAGAAAAGTTGACTTGAAAGTGGAAAAGGAAATGAGAAACTGGGATGGGTATGTATGGGGGGTGGGGTGGGGTAAGGAGGGTTGATACTGGACTCGATCAGAACATGCTATGTGCACGTATGGAAAACCACACTAAACACCATTAATATTAATACAAATGTCTAATTATTTTTAAATGCAGAAAACTTGAGCAATACGTCCTGTAACGGGTATGATCATTTTCTTTTCGTCCTTTTAGTGTGGAGATGAGGATCATGGAAGAAGGCAAACAAGCACAACTGAGTGGTACATTAGTTGTTTTACTGTTAATTTGACACATCTGAACCAAAGCATTCACAATACTTGATATACTTTGAAGAGAATCATATAGTCTTAGACATAACCACAGAACAAGCAGAACAATTAAAACTACATAAGGCCTTAAAATATATCCACAGTGTGTATTATGTCAATATTCATTCATTACAAATTGAGACTACATACCGTTTATTTTTTATTTTCTTTCATTGTTTTATTCAGGCAGGATTCATTCAAGGAAAGGCAACTTAGTTTGTTTTTGTGTGTGAGCTTTATTTTACTTTATTTTTACTATACTGGTTTATATAAAAACTTATATGTATTAAATGTTTTCTTATCTCCAATATTCAGGAGTAAATCCATGAAATTCTCATAGTACTCCAAATGAATAAGTCCTATTTTCCAAAATTGCCAAAGTGAAAAGGGACCAAATAGCCAGTCTATTTGTGGTCTTGAAGAACAACTAATGGATTTTCACATTTTCATATAATGAAGAGCACTACAATTCTATGAGATCAGTCAAAATTGAAGACAATTTTGCATACAAAATCATTGCTGAAGCCCTAGATACCTTTTAAATAACTAACCCAACTTTTAAGTGGTTGCCTCACAGTACCAAACTGGTTAAAATTCAGTGCCGTCATGACTTCGCATTTACAAGACAACTCATTTGTAAGTTAACAGATGGCATAAAAATTAAGACTTACTTCATTTTTTCCTTGAAGAATAAATGTATAGTAACCAGAAAATACAGAAAAGTCAATGTATTTTACAATAAAATAAACCACGTAAGCCTCTAACCCTGTACAACAGGGTTTGGGTCAACTCTAGTTACCTTTCGTGTTGTCATTGTTTTTTCTTTGTTTTTATACAGTTTATTCTGAGTACTTGAACTGCTTTAGATATATAGTTGTTTGAAAGAATATTACATTTGTATACCAGGATAAAGTTTAGTACATTGAGATGTTTTAAAAATACTTATAAACTTGTTTCTGATATGCAAAAGCATTTGGCAATACTTTTACAGCATTTGATTTTATAGAATTAAAATTTCATACAGTACTCATCTTGATGTTTAAAAAAATGACAGAAAATATATAAATTACACAGCCTGACTGCATGATACTGTTAGTTCCCGTTTCTAGTTCTGGTAATTAAAACCTTCATTAAGTCTGTTAACAAATCATTACCTGTACATGGATGAAGGCAACTGACATGATTTGCAAACAAAACCTTCAGGTTTTTTTTGTTATTTACCAAGAAGTGCAGTTCAGCAAGACAAGAAAACCCAGGAGGTCAATTTACAGAGCATCCTACAAATTTACCAGTTCCTGTGACACAAACTGTTTCAACCTTTCAAGGTACTGTCCGTAAAGCTCCACATCATTGTGTCCTGCTCCTTCAACCCACAGAGGCTCCACAGGTCTTTGGCAACGCTCAAACAATGCGAGGCCGTGTGAAAAGTCAATGACTTCATCTTCAGTCCCATGAATTATTAATACTGGAGAGGTTATCTTAGAAATCTTGTCAATACTATATGGAAAAAGAAAGGGGAGTGGAAAAAGAAGCAATTAACTATGAACAAAGAAACTTTCTTTGTGCACGTGTGCTGTAACAGAAATACCAGAACTGTATGAATCAGGTCAGAAGGGAGGCATAACTCAGATTTGAGTTCAAAAGTTGCCTTTACATGTTGTTTTAGGACGACCTGAGGACTTTATCTACAAACACTTCTGTCTTAATAGTCACTCAGGGATACTATCACTGTCTTGTTTTTGTTTTTAAAAGGTCAGAGAAGCTTAGTTTTCAATAGGAAACAGAAACTATTTCAAGGATGCATTTACCACTTTCTGCACTTATTATATTTTTCTGTGTAATCTCTTACTAAAATTACAGAAAAATGTCTTGGTTTTGTTCTAGTTTGAAGGCATACTCTACCAAAAGGGAGAATGTTCTGAAACTAGAAAGAGATAACTGGCTCAGAAGATAAATATGAAAAATATAATCTAACACAGAGAAAAGGTGGAGTGAAGGAGTAACCCAATTTATAACACAGAATACTCCAGAAGGCTAGGGTACTTTCACAGGGAATAAAGACAGGTGGCTAAAATACACTTTTGTTCAAAATTCTGTTTAAAATATAGTTAGACCCCTTTCCCAGTCTTCGACCTCCTGAAGCTCCTGGGTCACTCTGACTTGCTTTTTCTCCAAGGCAGGTGGGCCTGCGGACTCAGGACTGCCAGTGTTTATAGCATCATAGAATACATATACATACATACACACATACATACATACGTGTGTGTGTGTGTGTGTGTGTGTATAGAGAGAGGCCGCTGTCATCCCTACTTGCATCCTAAGAATGCTAGTAGGTAGGCCTTCATCAACCAGAGGTTTAGAAAGCCTTTCTTTAGATACTACATCAAATCAACTCTTTAGTTTTCCACTCTTACACATGAGCAGATAGCCAGGAATTATTAGACATCAGGAGAAAGCTCTTGAAATCTCAGATACAGATAAAAACCAACAGAATTTTTAAAAGGCAACTTGAAGGAGAAAGAAGTTCTGTAGAGAAGAAACATTGTATCACTTGTAAAATTTCTGAGAGAATAAGAATTCTCATAAAATGAGAATGGAATCTTACAAAGGAAGAAAATAACCAGTGAAATAACTCAGGCTGTATCTGTAAGGAGAGTATACTATTTGAACTATTTGCTGTGCACAAGCTGTTTAACAGTGGAGGAATTTAAACTTAAAACAAAACAAAAAACAAATCCACAATCACCAGTGGTTCATGCCTATAATCCTAGATACTCATGAGTTCAAGACCTTCGAGAATGCAATTTGAAGTCAGCCTGAGCAGAGAGTCTGCAAGACACCATCGCCAATTGATCAGCAAAAATGTCAAAATGGCAGCGTGGCTCAAGTGGTAGAGTGAGTACCAGATATAAGCAACAAAGCTTACCCTGAGTCAAGTCAAGCCAGGCACGAGAACAGAAACAGCGACAAAAACAAAATTCCCCCCACAAAAATCCTGTATGATCTTTTCCAGTTTATGCTGGCCTTTCTATTGGTATACCAGACATAAAACAGCATTATCTCGCGTAACATCCTATATGAATTCTTACCATTCAGCTAAAGAGAAATGGTACAACTCAAAATAAAAATCCCCAGTGGTAGAATGCTTGCTACACATGTACAAAGCCCAGTTTGATCCCTGATACAGAGAACAAAGCATTTTCTAACCCTTTCATTAAAAATTCCCACAGTCAACCATACTGATCAAAGTCACTACTCTCCGGAGTCTCCCTGCTAATGTGACCCCTTTTAGCTAATCGTGACAAAATTTGTTTTTAAAATAACTTTTGCTAGTCTAAAAACACCAAACGATAACTTGGCTTTTGGCTTGCTATTCACACAAAAATCTTCTGAATTGCTGCCAACTGAAGAAAAAGAAGACTGGAATTTGCCAGTTTCTTCTTGTTTTTCTCTGAGAGAAAAAATAGGCCATCAAGTTTTTTGTTTTTTTTTTCCTTGTTGGTCATGGGGCTTGAACTCAGGGCCTGGGTGCTGTCCCTGAGTTCTCACTCAAGACTAACATACTACCACTTTGCCAGTGCCATTTCTGGTTTTCTGGTGGTTAATTGGAGATACCTTTCCTGCATGGGCTGGCTTTGAACCGTGATGCTCAGAGTTCAGCCTCCTGAGTAGAATTATAGGCGTGAGTCACCAGTGCTCAGCTTAGGCAACAATAAAGAGTTTCTTGAGAAAAAACATGAAGTAGCTGTCCTTCTTTCAAATCTGCCTAATAATGTTTATTTCAGATTTTGTGATAATACTTCAGCTCATTTAAGATTCACCTTTTTGCAATTTACTTTTTTCTTTGGGGGGGGGTAAATCAGGTATCATTATAGCTAGGTATCTTCCACTCATTTCCCCCTCTCATTGCCCTTTCCTCTAGTGTTACTTACCTTATTGAATATCATCTTCTTTCAGCTGCTCAAGACACAAAACATGGGATTCTTATTTAAATTGCTCTCTTTACATTTCCTAATACTAGTCTTCAATGCCAGGGACTGTGCCTGGAATTCATGTAGATCACTATAGCTCAAACACTTCAGGCTCCTTACTGTGGTCACTTGCCAAAACCCTCTTTATATTCGTTTTTTTCACAATAAGATATCTAACTCAGATCATGGCCACATGGTGTCTGTATGCCTGGAGAAAATTCCCTAAAAGTTTCTTGTGAGGAATTTCGAGCTATTTTGAGTACCGTTACTTACTTTGGGAATGCATCAAAACAGTAAGTCTTCTTGGTATCAGGAAAAGCAACTCGCATTCCCGAGGTTAAAGGAGAATGAAGAATAACAGCAGCACTCTCATACCGAGCAGCAAGATCCACAGAGGGCACTGTCCCTATGCTCTGGCCGTATATAATCACATTTTCAGGACGGATGCCATATCTACAAGATTCAGAAATTTAAAAAACAAGTTGAACTGTAAAGATGGACCATCATTCATTTAAAATTTAAATTTGTAGTGCTGCAAAAAGCTCTGGATTTTCAGCTAATTTCACCTGTTTGCTTTAGCTTTGAGAAAAGTAACTGCTAAGGTAAATGTCTTTCAAATTTTTGATCTTTTGGAAAAAATATTAAGTAGTTTATTATATTCCAGTATTCCAACTTATCATATATTGTTGACATTGGGGGGTATATGACATAATATTTCAATGGACTGATGATTAATGGATATTTATTGTTGGTGTTTACCTTCCATTCAACGTAACAAGTTTGTTATTTCTTTAGGTATCAGGAATGGCTCAGTTTCCTTTTTTTTTTAACCTTTGTTGGCACTGGAGCTCAAACTCAAGGTCATGCTCTTTTCATATTTTTTTCTGATGGCTGGTGCTCTACTACTAAAGCCATGCTACCAATTTTTTTCCTAGTTACGTGGAGGGTAAGAGTCTTAAGGCTTAAGGCTTTGAGTTAGCTACAAATCCAGATATTTGGATCTCAGCTTCCAGTGGTGTGAGCCATTGGTGCCTGACTTCCATTTCGTTTCCTAAAATGCTGCATATAGTTATGGTATGGCACGAAGAATGATGTGTTATTTTAGTCACAATCAGGATCATAAATTGCATTTATCTTGAAATTTGCCATACTTGTAAAATAATGAGTCAATGCTTGAAAAGATGAACAGATAAGCTAGACTTCTAAACATTACACACAGTTAAACTATGAATGCTACAAAATCTTGAGTTTTGCTTTTTCCCTTTAACAATACTACACATATTTAAATAAGTGAACTCACAGATGTTAAGTATTTATTGGTTACCTACTATGTTCTAGGAACTGTGATTTGTCTACAGTGTAATTATGCCAAATGCAAATAATATAACATCTAAATGTTGGTGTAAGAATTATAATGACTTTAAAAGTGCCTCTCCATTTAAAAAGGAAACAGTAGTCACTTCTGGTAGCTAGGATAATTACACAGGAGCTTCTAATCTTTCAGAAATATATGAGAGCTTCCTGAGAATTTTAATATTCATCAGGTTGGAGAGGGCAAACTCTTCATGTGTTCAAGACTAATTGCATTAATGACCCAGGTAGTTTAATCAAGTTTTCCAAAATATTTATGGCACAAACAAGAGGCAGAGTTCCATCTACTATTAATTATAACGCTACTAAACTCAGGGAAGTTTTTATCTTCATTGTACATCTATCTGTACATACTTTACAGAAATGAAGAAGTTAGGCCAGGCATGGTGGCAAATGCCTGTAACCCCAGCTACTCAGGGGGTAGAGTAAGGATGATTGTGGTTTGAGGCCAGATCCTGCAAAAAGCTACTGATATCCTATCTCAAAAACAAGGCAGGGGGCGGGGAGGTGGGGGGTAGTTGGGGAGAGAGCTGGGAATGTGGCTTAGTGGTAGAGTACTTGCTTAGCATGCATGATGCCCTGGGTTTGATTCCTTAGTACCACATAAACAGAAAATGCCAGAAGTGGCACTGTGGTAGAGTGCTAGCTTTGAGCAAATGAAGCTCAGGGACAGTGCCCAGGCTCCAAGTTCAAGCCCCAGAACTGGCAAAGAAACAAAACAAAACAAACCAAGTTAGGAATAGTGGCTCATACCTATAATCCCTAGTTCGAGGCAGCCTGGGCAAAAGCCAGATGTTAGCTAAAAGATAAACTAAGAGCAAAAAGGACTGGAGGATCGGATCGAGTGGTAAAAAGCTTGCCGAGCTAACACGAGGCCCTGAATTCAATCTCAGAACTGTAAAACTAAAACAAACAAAAAAAAGCCCAAAGCAGCAGCAGCAGCAGCTGGGGAGAGCACACATCTGCAGCATGTGTACACCTCTTAGGCCTGCACTGCTGCTCCCAGCTGGATTAATGATGGCGATTATGGGTTATGGGCTAAAGGGCTAGGCTCTGGAGTAGCAGGAACAGCTGCTAACCATTCACCAGTGAACTCTATGCAGTAACTATTTGAATTGTATGAGATAAAAACTTTAGAGATCATCAAATCTAGTCAAGCTGCTTAATGAGCATATGTTGAAACTCATAAGTTAATGGTAGAACTATAATTAGAACTTAGATACAATGACTCCAAGTCCAGTGCTCTTTTCCTGACAGCACACAGCTAATGGATGTGGGGGAAGGTTTCACAGGGTGTTACTTTCTGTGGGTTCACCAAGAGATTAAAAAACAAACAAACAAAACAAAAAAAACCAAACTGGGGTAATTAAAGAAACGGAGTATCATTCAAATAATAATTCTTTCTTGACTAGTGCCCTACCACTTGAGCCACAGCTCCACTTTTGACTTTTGGGCAGTTCATTGAAGATAATCGTTTCACACTTTCCTGCCTGGGCTAGCTTCAAACTGGCATCCTCAGATCCCAGCCTCCTAAGTAGTAAGGACTGCAGGTGTGAGCCACTGGGGCATGGCTCAAATAATTCCTTAAGGTCATCTTTTATTTCCCTCTTCTGGTAGTTAAGCCTTGTTATTTGCATCTGGTAAAAGAAATATAAGGCATATATTCTAATTATACACAACTCTTCGGAGGATAAAATTCTAGAGCTGGAAGAGATCTTGGAGATCATTTAACCTTTTCATTAAACAAATAAGGAAAACATGCTCAGGAAAGTTAACTAAACCTTCAAAGCCTGCTTAGATACTAAGTCTCTCAACTGTCTTTAAGGGTCAAAAACAGAGAAAATATGAAAGCACTAAAATAGTAAGTGGGATTATTTAAGAATGTATTCTGTCATTCTTCCTCATTTGGTGGCCCTACCAACTGTGTTAAAAAATACCTCGAACACTGAATATTCATTTTGTTTCAATAGAAATGCTTTTATGTGCTTTCTCTTAGCACCTTGAAGTCTACATTTTTCACTGAAGTTATACTAAAGTTATGTCAATATTTTAAAGTATTACAATTAGTTTCTGACAGCTATACTATATATATACAGTTGGGTGAGTTTGAAAAGTGGCTACTCATACTTCTCAAAATCTTCACCGTTTCTGTTAACTCTCTATTACTCACTACCTTTTTCTTTTTAAATTTGTTCATATTTCAATTGATTTAAGAATCTCCTTTATATAGAATTTTGCTGAAAGCATAACTTTGTTGTATTTCTTGGAGAAGAAGGAAATACATATTATTTTCTTTCTCTCTGTGTTTTTTCTTTCTCTCTTTTCCTCTCTCCCACTTAGTTGAGACAGAGTCTTCCTATAGAGACTAAGTAAGCCTGGACCTCAATTCTTTTTTTTTTGCTTTTAAAAATTTTTTTATTGTGAAAATACTGTACAGAGGGGTGGAACTCAATTCTTTTAAGAACTTTTTTTTAGAAACATGTTATACTTGAAGAGGTTCTTCTGGACATTCTTAATATTAGCAACAGTGAATTTTCTTTATGGCCTCAAGCTTTAGTCTAAAAGACGCTGGAAGTCAAGTATCCATGTATAATATGAAAAGTAACTTATATTAAGGTATTGCTGTATTATTGTACCCTAATCTGATTGATGAGAAAATGTACTGGAGTCTATAAAATTGAGGCATTTTCCAAAAAAATTTGTAAGTATCCTAGTGACTAGAAAGGATTAATGTGATGGCTAGTTTCTAAGTGTATTTTCTGATTTACAGAAAATAAAATTTGAGATCATGGCTCCCAATTTTAGGAGTCCAGAATGTAAAGCAAAAAATTTTACAGTGCACGTTTTGGTTAAGATTTAAACCAAACAAACAAACCCCCACATACTCTAACACAACTAATGACAGATCAAGTAAATAAGCCTAGTCAGTTTGCTCTTATTCCCTTGAAATACTACAATATTGAATGAACATTTTATGTCATACTCTAGTAATTAATTTATAACCAAACACTGTCAGTGAATTTAAAACTTAAAAAAAAATTGAATTTAAAACGTAAAAAAAAACAAGCAGTTAAATTTTTTTGTTCAATATGCAAAATTTAAAATTGTAATACAAAAGTTTAACTATCATAAGCATATTGGCAAATATGATCTTTATAGTCAAGACATGTAAGAGTTTATTCTTCAATAGTTATAGTAAACTATCCTAAGTGTAAAAACTACTTCCGAATCAACATTTACCTTGTCCTAAGAGCAAGCCAAGCAGCTTCAATATCTGCATACAGGTTCTTCTCTGTTGGCTTCCCAGAACTTGCACCATATCCAGAGTAATCATATGAGAATATATTACAATTAATCCGTGATCCCAGCCCTATGTAAAAGCTGCTCATCTGACCGAGATCTACAGCATTTCCATGTGAGAAAAGTAAAGTGTATTTGGCATTGGGTGAGCAACGCACAAACATACAGGCAATTCTGTTGCCTTTACTGGTTCTAGTCATGAAGCACTCAATAGCATCCTTTTCTCTCGAGGAGTACTGCCAGTCCGCGCGTTCTGACAGGTGTAAAGTCCAGCGGCTTCCACTTTCGTCACACATCAGTGTGTAGGTTGGATCAGGTGGCAAAAATGCTAATTTTGAAGCAATTTTCCCTGGGCAAGGTGGACAGCAGAAGAGGCAACATAGCTCACTAAATGAAAGATTATTCATCTTCTGAAAGAGAAAAGGAGACAGGAAACATTTTAATAACTGAAAGTGGATTTGCATTCTTGTACAGCAGGTTAAAACAACAGGAGTAAACACTGGTGGTCAAATCTATGACATATGCCAAGTATCCTCCCTACACAAAAGATAACGTGGCATCTTTCTCAAAGCACTTCAAATCCTGGAGTGAGACTACTATTCCAGGCCAGTAGGCAAATAAATACCAAAGATTTATTCGTGATTAGTTTCTCACTTAACAAAAATGTGTAAGGTTTGGAGCCAATATGAGTTATCTTTAGATCACTCTGTAAGTCAAGAAAAACTTTCAGAATCCCACAGAGAAGCTAGGGAGTTAAGAGGTATGATAAAATCAATATATATATATATCGATATATATATATATATATATATATATATATATATATTTCACTGCATCTTCCAAATAACTTGTAGTTGGATTTAAGAGAACACTTGTAGAAGATGAGTCAATGGTACAACTGGAAGTTATTTTTTCAAGGTTTCCACACAGGACTAAACTCAGATGGTGATTGCACCTATGGCTTCCTGCATTGCTGGGATGTCAGGTATGGACCACCATACCCAGCTTACTACCAGGATGGGAGGTGTCATTAATTTATTGCCTGGGCTGGCCTCCAACTGTGATCTTCCCAATCTCCACTGCTTGAGCAGTTAGGCAGAACTAGTCTTTGCTACATTCACACCAATAGGGCCAGTGCAGCCCAGCGATGTAACCCTATCTGTGTCAAAAGCCTATCATTTAGACACAGTGCAGGTGGTTAAAATAAAGTACAAATGTCTGCTTATAGATATGTACACCGCCACTGAACAAAGCAAAAGGCTGTCATATAGGCAAATATGGAAAAAATGCAGAAGTCTGTTAAAAGCAAATATTGCTAATGCTGAATGAAGAAGGGCCAAAGATTCAAAGTCAAGAGAGCTGGTAGAATCCCAATTTACCACTTACTGCTGTGTGTCCTTAAGTAAGTCATTTATGTCTTGATCTTCATTTTCTTCCTAAACAAATGAAGCATTCTACGTTCAGTAGAGTGCTTGTGAAGGTCAAATACAATGATGTGGTAATCGCCTATTAACACAGTAATGGCCCATATAGTTGGCATACTCACGAATGATTAGCTTTCTTCTATGTCTTTTCCATTAATATCGTAAAAGTATCCAGCTCATGCTAACTTAGGGACAATACTTGTCATCAGCATTTCCTTCCATCTTGTCCTTTCTGAAACTATCTTATTTTTCTTTTAAAGCAAAAGTAGACAATCATTTACTTGTAGAAAGGCTTTCAAAACTAATATTTTCCAAATGTTTGTTTTGGAAATACTTTCAATTTGGAGATATTCTCTCCCAAATATGTGAATACAAGGATAGGAAAAAGATTTACACAATACTAAAACATGAAATCACCTCAGGGGCGTTGAGTGTGTGTGGAAAGAAAGGAATGTTCTTTTACTATGACTGAATCAAAAAAATACTTTATAGGACAATACAAATGTGTTCATTTCCCAGTCTAAGTACAATAGGTAGGAAGGGGAAACAGAAGTAGTAACATGGAAAAAGACAAGAGTAGCTATGCATATAAGGCTCTAAAAGTTGAGTAAGGGCAAAGCCTGTTGGATACTGGAAACAGTTTTACTTGGATAGTCTATGCTTATTCCTTTTCTGCCTTCAAAGCAAATATAGACTCACTGTTGGCCTGGATGGCACAAGAATTACAACAGAAATGACAGCTAGGTGTCACCTCTAGTGGTAAGCCTCACTGGCTTCCTGAAACACTGCAGTGAGAATGCCAAGTGTGTTTTGTAAAGCTTGGTGGGCAAAGAATGCACGATGAATAAGTGGAGTCTACTTACGAATCTAGTAACTGATTTACTATCCTGCGCAGAGTATAAAAATATCTGGCAGGGAAGGGAGTTTAAGAGATGTATACCAGTGGAGGTGATAGGGAGAAAAACAAGGAGGCGAAAGTTACAATATACCAAAGGGATCGCTCCATAATCTCCTTGTATCATTTGTCTTCAATTGCCTTCCATGTCACAAACTTCTGATCCACTGAAGCCAAATAAAAGCTTGAGTATTAAATAAATAATATATTCCAAGATTGTGCTCCGACTTCATAACCAGGACCTTTTATATATGACAATAAACTGATTATGGAATCAATCTGACTGAGTGACCATATTCAGTTTATGCTTCTGGGAATGAACACCAAGATGAAGAAGCAGACAGGAGAAACACCAGGGTCTGAGGAAAACACGAACTGACCTTAATGGTGGCAGAAGAAATTATTCACACTTCTACTGCCCCAAATCCAGATAACAGAAACCATTTCCTGACAACTCACAACTGATCACTTTCTAAATAACAGGCCTGCCACACTGTCCTGCTTTTAAAAAGTAGTTGTCTCCTCTTCTGTAAGTTTTAAGATTTTTTTTCCACAATAAAAAGAACAAATGAAACAAAAGTTTTAGTATGATTTGAGCCGTTACTCAGGAAAAAACATCTTATTCTTGAATTTAATTACTGAAATAGCTTGGCAAATTTAGAAAACTTTATCTTCAACTTTAAAACTCATTTGAATAAAAATATCATTTACTAGTTACTACTGACAAGAAAATGCTGAAAAGTTAAGGCTACATATAACTGTCCTGATAAAATGGCAGGGACATAAGACAGCATACAAAAGTCATGAGAGAGAGACAGAAAGTTGAACACTTTGCAGCAGAAAAAGTAGAAATTTTGAGCCATAAAATAGGATTTTAAATATAGTTATAAGTCCATTTTTAAAAGGGAAAAATACTTAAAAGGTGAAACAGGAAACTGTCATGAATGAAAATCCAGTAGTCCACAGAATCACACACAGAAATAAAGAAGCTGATGCAATGGGAAAGAGAATTATTAACAGCCAAAGAATACCTTAGTGAGTTGTAACATCAGTTTGGGGAATTCCAAAATATGGAATTTTGCAAGAGGTGGAGAGATAGAAAGTAGAAAAGACAAAGTAGTAGGTAAGGATGTTTAAAGGAGAAATGCCAATATCTATACTATGTCTCAGGGAAATGTCTCAGGGAAACAAATAGGAAAATAAAAAATTCTCAGAATAAAAGAAAGATAATAATTCAGATCAAAATATTTCACAATGTGCCAAACAGGATCTTTATGAAAACTTTCACAATTAGGAACACTAGTAAAAATGAAAAACACTAGAAACAAAAATCTAAACATTTCTAAAAAGGCAAAACAGATTAGGAAAAGGAGTGCAAGAAATCAGATGAACATTTGACTTTTCAATAGCAACAGTGAGACTAAAAGACAGGGGTGGATATTTTTAAAGCAAGGAAGAAATGAAACTTGGAACCTATAATTTTACATAGAGTTAAATTAAACTTTTGGTTTGGTGAGATTATAAAAAAAGTTATCTATAGGCATATCAAACTTCAGAATGTTTATGAAGCCAAGATTCTCTGACAAACTCCATCAAGAAAGCAGAAAGTGAAGTCAGATCTGAGATATGACAAAGGAGAATAATTAATATAGTGGAGCAGACAAATGTATTGAAGTATGGAAATCAGCAGGGCATTTTCTTTAAAGGTAGCAAAGTGTACCTCTAACAATTCTAAAAAGAAAAAATTGGGGAAAACCAACATGGGAAAAACTGAAAGACAAGTTTGGGGTATCAAGATGAAAATGTACTGGGGTACCTGTCAGATATAATCATTGAAGTTATAACCACAAAAAATAGTTCATACATATAAGGTAGCTGTGTCTACTTTCAAAAAAATTAAAGAATATTTTTCAGAGTACCCAATTAAAAAAAATAAGCACACAGAAACAAATATTTAACAGCAAAGGTGAACAAATTGAGAATAAAAAGCTGACTTTTAGAAAAGGCTTTCATTACTGCTAATGGCAAGTCTCAGTGCCAGAGAGTTTTCTTTTTCATACAGCAACTCATTCTGTCCTTTCAATAAACTCTCTGACATAGGGACTAACATTATACCCATCTTTTCAATTGAAGACACAGAAGTTCACAGTAGTTATATCATTTGTCTAAGGTCACAAACCAGTAAAAGCTGAAATGATAAGCTGGGGCTTGAAAGAGCCATTGTTTTGTGGAAAGAATACTCAGACAACACTGCTCAGAAGGCAAATAAACACTAGTTTGAATCGCGGATGGTTCCCAACGGCCTATGACCAGGGTGGCACTAATCAGGAGGTGGTAACATGTTCGGGAGCAAGGTCTTTCAAATGGAACAGTGGGACCTCAATCCCTTCCTTTCTATTTTAGCTCTATGGCCATGAGGTGAGCAACGGAACTATCATATGCTCCTGTCATTTTGTGCTGCCTTGCCTTGCCACAGGCTGAAAGCAACGGGGTCAAGTGATCGTGGACTGGAACATCCAAAGAGAGGAGTCAAATTAATAGTCCTGTTCTCATTTTAAGTTGATTATCTCAGGTAGTTATATAGCAGTAGAATACAAATACTACATGAAAAAGAAAATGACACAGATCTTGACGAAAGACAAAACATTAGATTTAGTTTCGTTCAAATAAAGGGTATCTAGAAAGGCATAATGGCAGGGACCTAGTCCTAGTATTTGGGAGACTGAGGCAGAAGGACTTCTTGAGTCTGTGAGTTCAAAACCAGCCTGGGCAGCCTGGGAGTGCAGCTCAGTTGTATAGCAGTTGCTCAGCATGAAGGACTGCCATTTTAAATTCCAGCACCAAATCACTACAATATTGTGTCAGAACATTAAGAAACAGATTCCATCAAATGCATGGAAATGAATAGCTGCTCCAATGACTTTGACAGAGCTTAAAAGTACAGTACAAGGAGGAAAAGGGGAAAAAGTTGAGATCTAACAATACTATTAAGATCAACATCATGTCTTGAGGACAAATATATAGATAAGAATAAAAGAGGATGGAGAGTAAAGGGAAAATTATAAGTATAGAACCTACATTCACAGCCTCATGATAATGTGACATAAATTTGTCTCAAGGTTCCACAGTACAGCAATCCTATCTGCTTGCTTATAACTGGAATTCTAGCACTTAAGCAACGAACATGACAACAGTAAAGTATCTAAAAAATTTTGAATGAATGAGTTAGCACATTAGCAAAACTAACAACACTCACCTAAAAAGCTCTTACGAAAGTAAAAACAACTAAATGTACATGTGAGAAAGAAAGCCGACACTTCATCATTAAGATTTCTT